GGGCGGATGTGAAGCGCGGCTTGTCTGTCTGCTACGCACTATCAGTGAACAGGGCTGCTGTGACACTGCGGCGGGGAGGGGGGAGGGGGGCAGAGACACCCTTAACGTGAAATGGTGCTGAGTTGACGCATTTCTAGTTATATCTGAGCATAGGCCGACACTCACTCAGGGCTCGCTGGTCCAGCGCGGGGTCCTTGCGGGCCTTGGGGTCAAGGCCGAGCACCCGCGCGTACGACTCGCCGTACCACGTGAGCAGCTCCGTGTTGGCGGGCACGTCGCGCACCGTCCGGTAGTAGACGTGGCCCTGGTACTGGTACGGCACGAGGTTCACCTCGCCGGAGTGCCGCGCGCAGTTGACGAACCGCAGCCAGTTGGAGGAGGCCATGTTGAGCGCGTCGACGCAGTGGGTCGGCTTGCCGTCGCGGCGAATCTGAGGGAGGGAAAGCGGAAACAGCAGGGGGTGTAACGACCCACTCGCGGAGGGTTTACTGGGCGAGAGCCGGGCGACCCGCGCAGCCACCTCCTCACCTCCCAGCCGTAGCCCGTCTCCTTGGTCGCGCGCACCGTGTCACCCTCGTACGGCCCGAAGCGCACCCTCCTGGGCACCGCCTCCCGGGTCCAGACGCCGCGCCCCGCGCCGGGGATCTTGCTGACCTCCACGGCGAGCTGGGGCGGCACCGTGAGCAGCGCCCGGTCGGGGCGGCCGACGGCGACCTGCAAGAGGAAAGCACACATGACGCTCGCAGGCTCGGCACGACTCCTATGACCCCCTCCCCCCCCCACACACACACAGAAACAGAAACACAAAACTTTTAACTTACCTTAGTGTCAGGAATGACCTGCAAAGGTCCGTGTTCCGGGCAGTCGCCAGCATACTCGGTCCGGCAGTCATCGCAAACTTGAAAAAAAAGGGGGGGGGGAGTTATTAGTTTGACGCGTCCTCGCGCTCGTCTACAACACAAAACCCACACACTGCAAAACTTACAGAGGAAGTCGTCGTCCTGTAGCTCTAGCTCCTTGTAGGTCTTCCGGCTCCCAGCCCGCTTGGGGTAGCGTGGGGCCTCGGAGGTTTTGCCAGGCTCGGAGGTCTTGGGCTCGTCGATCCCCAGACCGAGATGAGTCTTCAGCACAGGGGTCTTGGACTTGGGGGTCTTGGGCCCGGAGGTCCTGGTCGCGGAGGTCCTGGAAGCGGGGGTGCTGAGCTCGAGGCTGTCGAGCTCGAGGGTGCTGAGCTCGAGGGTGATGAGCTCGGGGGTGCCGATCTCGGGGGTGCCGATCTCGGGGGTGCCGAGCTCGAGGTTGCTGAGCTGGGGATCAGGCGTCCTGGGTTCGGGTGTCCTGAGCTCGGAGGTTGGGGTCATAGGCTCAGGGGTTGGCGTCCTGGGCTCGGGTGTCCTGGGCTCAGGGGTTGGCGTCCTGGGCTCGGGGGTGGGGGCCTTGAGCCCGGGGGTCGGGGTCCAGAGCTCGGGGGTCCTGGGCTCAGGGGTTGGCGTCGTCCTGGGCTCGGGGGTGGGCGTCCTGAGCTCGGGGGTGCTAAACCCGGCGGCCTCGGGCTCGGATGTTCTGGGTTCGGAGATCCTACGCCCGGTGGAGGCGCCTGAGGGAAGAGAGCGACGGGTGACAATCGGGCTAGATTCCTCAAAAAAGATCGCGCCTGCGTTTTAGGAAGGAGATGACTGTAGATATACGTTTAACGTGTTTCGGAATTGGAACCAGGACAGGAGCAGAGGTGTAGTGGAAAAGGAGGCGTGGGGGGGGGGGGTATTCTCCCGCTGTCTCCTCCAAAACTTACCCTCGACGGGTTGGTCGGGGGATGGGTGTGAAGGATGAGCTTGTTGCTCGGCGGAGTCCGATACAGGTGACCGAGACCTTTCAGATGGGAACGCTGCTGCTCCCTCTCCTGGAGCTGGTCCTCCTGAAGTCTTGGCCTTCTGATGATTATGAAGTTGCTGCTGTCTCTCTGGAGCAGCGGGCTTACGGGTCATGAAGGCTGGGGGTTTAGTGGTCCAGCCTGATAAAACAAACGAGATTTCCGTCTCAGAAATCAGACGATTCTATTGAGGGGTAATCGATAGGGCGAAAGATACAAAGTTGTTGTTCGCCCTTTGGGGATCCGGTTGTTGAAATGGGTACCCGACTCAATGGACGTGGTTTATATAGTAATATCTGTTGTTGGATTGTTCAGGCCTCACTACGTGTCACCCGCAAACATACAAATCTATATCAAATAACACCTAGTCTTTGTCTACTGCACACATGACAAAGAGAGGTTATCCCCTCAGGAACCCAACAACGTTGACTTGTTATCACTCACCGCAGCGCCGTATCGTATCATACTTCCACTTTTCATCTCGGTAACACTTTTTCTCATCACCACTCAGTTTTTCCCACTCTGACGCGGAGAAAAACACTTTAATACCGTCATTTTCACTATCCTCCGATCCGCGGCTCGACATGGTGGTCAGCTCGTCAACCAGCAGAGCTGTCTGCTGGGCGCAACAGCATCCCTCCCCCCCC